AAAGTTTATTGAAATATTTTCAAATCTTCACATTCATCAAAAATAAATTCAAAATATTTTAGTTTTTGTTTCTTTTGGATTAAAGAAGAAACAAAAATAGTTTTCCTGTTTGAAACAACAATCAGGTTGAAAATGAGATTATTAATATTTATTATATAAATTGATCATCTGGAATCATAATTCAACCACTTTAACATATATTAATTTACATATATTTATACATATATATATTAGTGCTGGGCAACGACTCAAATTTGTAATCGCAATTAATCTCATTGTTTAATGCTCAAAGTTCAATAATGAATTCAAAAGTAGTGTATTGTGCACTTTTATTTTGAAAGTACTGCTATATGAACTAAAGGTGAATAACATTTGGTTTGTAAACACTTTAAACACATCAGGTTGTTAACAGCAGTATTCTCTTTACACAGCAGCAGTTATAACACAGTTATAATGATGCTGATCATAGATATTCAGCCGGTGTTCACAACTTTATCTTCATGTGTAAGAGATGATATTTAAATATATTTCTTGAAACCTGCAAACATATCTACGTCATGTTTTTATGTTTGTTAAATTCTCAGTAGTTATAACTAAATGATGCTTATTATACATATTACAAACAAAACACTTTAAAAACTCTAAAACAATCATTTAAATGAATCATTGCTTTTTTGGGTATTTAGGTCAGACACGTATGCAACGCTGATTACCGTAATATGTGTGGTATTTGTTATAAATAGGTACAAATGGTACATAGAGGGTGATAAGAAGCTGTACATGGAGGGACTTAGGACCCAGGGGAGTGTAGGTGAAGCATGGAACCTGTAGTCTGTACCGTGGCAGTAACGTGCATGAGAAGTTATGCTAATACAGAGTTGCAGTTAAGAGCAGTTTGTTCTCTCGTGCTTATATGTTCATTTAAAAACACCACAATATGTGTTCTGATATTGTCACACAAACATCTGTTCATCGATCGCTGCCCGGTTCTTGTTAAAAATGTCCGCTTAATAATAAAAAAAAAACTGCGTTAACGCGCAATAAAATAATTGTCGGCATGAATTAATTAATGTGTTAACGCGATAATAACACATTAACTTGCCCAGTACTAATATATATACATTTTAATACGTGGGGCCTATATGCGGATGGCCTCGGATCCGTGTTTTCGGTTGTCGTCGCCTCCGTTATGGGTAATTATCGGGTTATTAACGGGTTATTGACGGTAATTATCCGGGGATTATCATGTTCACCTGCTGAGGGGGAGACGAGGGAGAAATGAGGGGGAGACAAGAGAGAGAGAGAGAGAGACAGACAGACAGAGAGAGAAACCTTTATTTTCTTAAAACAACATGAAAGAACAAAAAATCGTTGCCATGGCAAAACAAAACAGAAAAACAATCAAAACAGTTTCTCTTCATAATATTTTCAAGGAGCGTTGAATATTAGTTCATCTCCTGACACACAACATTGTGCTTCGTTGTTGCACCGTTTCTCCATGAATCCTGCATGTTGTTCATGTTCAAGTTCTGTCTCCTCACAGCGTCGGCTCTCACACTCTTTCTCTGTGTGGAGGTCCAAGAGTTCAGACTCTGTTTCACTGAATGATGGTCCTGAGACCCCATTCAGCTCTGGAATGAATCCTTGATCTGGAAATAGATCTGTAGAGTCAGGAGCTTCCTCTCCTCTGTTGTCCTCCTTCAGCATCTCGACCTCGTCCTCCGTCAGTCTCTCCGCCAACCTGCTCAGGACTTTATTGATGGACTTCAGCCCGAGTAGAGAATCCACTGCAGGTGCGTCTGTCAGTCCAGGAACATCTACCTCCACCAGTGTCCTCAGGGTGGTGGTCCCAGAGGAGCACAGCATGCTGCTCAGACCTGGAGTCGTGCCGTCCTGGATGTCCATCCTGTCTCCGTTCACCAGCGGTTCCTTATTCTCCATTAACTCCATCTTTGTTCAGCTCTTTCTTTATTTTCTGACCTAGTTACTTCAGTCTGAAGCCTTCCTGCTTCGTGAGACCTCCTCTGTCTTTACTGCTCATGTGAGATCTGACAGAGTTGGAGAGCTTCTCTTTGTCAGAGATGTAGTCCTCCACTTTGGCTCCTCTTACATTTTTACTTCTCTTCAGAAAACTCTTTATCTCCTCCACACTGTAGCCTTCAGAGCTCCTACAGCTGCCATCCCTGCACTCGGAGAGCTCACTGTCAGCAGCAGAGTCCTCCTCCAGACTGGACTCACACTCTGCTGCTCCTCTCCTTCCTTTCTTTGCCTGTGCATTTCCACTGTTTCCTTCCGTTTTCCTCTTCAGACGAGGGACTTTGAGCTGCTCCTCGTCTCCCTCCATGTCCACCTCACTGCCTGTCAACACGACATCTTTAGCAGCTGTTCCACTCTCACACTTTTCTTTTGGTTTTACTATTTCCTGTTTCATACCTGTCTCCACCTGTCCTCCAGTACTCACCTGACTAACCTCCTGGGCCCCACTTGTCCCCTCCTGCCTCCCCTTTTGGCCTTCCTGCTTCGTGAGACCTCCTCTGTCTTTACTGCTCATGTGCGATCTGGCCGAGCTGGAGAGCTTCTCTTTATCAGAGAGGTAGTCCTCCACTTTGGCTCCTCTTACGTTCTTGCTTCTCTGCAGATAGTCCTTTATCTCCTCCACCCTGTAGCTTTCAGAGTTCTTACAGCTGCCAGCCTTGTGTTCAGAGGTCTCACTTTCAGCAGCAGCGTCCTCCTCCAGACTGGACTCAGACTCAGCTGTTCCTATACTTCCTGTCGTTGCCACTTTTTTGGCCTGTGAGCTTCCACTATTTCCTCCCTGTTTCCTCTTCAGCTGAGGAGCTTTGAGTTGCTCCTCGTTTTCCTCCATGTCTACCTCACTACCTGACTCCACCTGTCCTCCAGTACTCTCCCTCACCTTCTGGACCTCACTTGTCCCCTCTTCCCTCACCTCCTGTAACCCACTTGTCTCCTCTTCCCTCACCTCCTGTAACCCACTTGTCCCCTCTTCCCTCACCTCCTAGGCCCCACCTGTCTCCTCCACTCTCGCCTTCTGGGCCACACTTGTTTCCTCCACCCTCGCCTCCTGTGCTCCACTTGTTCCCTCCTGTCCGTCCTGCTTGTCCCCTCTGCCCTCCTCAGTACCTTTCTGGTTCTGGTCTTTATGAGAACCGTGTTCCCCAGGACAAGCTCTGCTCAGATGTCCTTCTTTCCCACAGCTGTAACATTTAAAATCATCGGTCTTTGCAAAGATGACGTATTCAAAGTCCTCTACAGTGATTTTGAAACTGAGGTTGACCACTCTGCTCCTGTCATTCGGGATCACGAGGACATGTCTCCTGTGACACACCACGTGCTTTAACAGCTGGGACTTAAAACCAGGAGACATTCTCCTAACCGGAGACACCACCTTCCCATGTTTGGACAGCTCTCTTACTATTGCCTCATTAGTGATAAACGGCGGGACATTGGACACGGTGACTTTTACTGCCGGTGAGCTGAGAGGGTAAACGGGCAGGAAGTGTTCACCCACCTCGACCCCGCACTCCAACACCACTTCCACAGCTTCTACGCTATCTAGAAAGATGACCACAGCGCTGTTCATCCGCGCTGCGGACTTCACGCAGCTGTGGCCGACAAGCTCCCCCACTGCCAGGCTGATTCCTCCACTGAACACCCGAACAGCGGCGGGATCCTCACCCCGTGCTTCCTGGTTAACTCGGTCAGGCTCGTTTAGCACGCCGACTGATCGGCTGCAAACCCCCACAAACAAAGACCCTAAAACCCCCTAATTGTGCACACAAACCCCGTGAACCCTTCTCACTACACTACACTCTCATACCCAACATTACCCTGTGAAGAAAAAGATCGAAAAATCGCTATTTAACGCTCTCAAACACGCTCCGCCAACTCCGTGCTCCTTCCACTCAGAGAGAGAGAGAAAATAGTAAACAAAAGGAAACAAGAAGAAGGGAACAAGAAAACAAGAAATAGGAAACAAGAAAAAGGAAACAGAATGAGGGAAACTGAACACAAATTAATAGGAATCAAAGAAAGCAACTTGATTCTAAATCAAACAACAAATCACAAAGTAACACGTTGATCAATATTTTAGTTTTTATCAGAACTTGTATCTAAATAAACGGTGAATTATTAACGATGATCAATTATTTATTGATCACTAATAAAGTTTCACAATCAATCATTCACATTAAAGAACAAATCAATAAATGTTTCATTGTTTTATTTGAAAATGACAGAATAAGTTAAGAACATGAGGAAGAGGAGGAGGAGGAAGAGGAAGAGGAGGAGGAGGAGGAGGA